GCTGCGGTGGCCGGGAGCGGCTACTGCACTCCAGTCTGGGTGACAGAGTGAGACTCCAACTCAAAAAAAAAAAAAAAAAAAAGTAACTAAAATGCTACTAATAACCTTATATCTAAAAGCATGGCATTGCTTTTCAGGGCTTACTAGCTGGTAGTTATCCTGAGATCTTCATGTAGTAAGTTAACCTTGAACCTCTGCATATCAGCAGGGCACCTAGTATGGGTGTACATTAATTGGAAAGTAGAGTGTCATAGTTAAGACCAAGGACAAGTTATTCTAGGACTTCACATGTAGCAAAAAGTGGAGAAATCAAATGTCATTCTACGATTAACCTCTTGGGAGTTGCACTAGCGCCAGGAAACTGTCATTTTGAATTTAGTTCTCCTAGTTGTAGGAGGAAAAAACCATGTGCTCTTTGTTTATCTGCATTGCTTTTGTATTTCTAAGGTACTCTCCCCACCTTCCTGTTCTTGTCTCCTTTCCAAGAGCTCTCCTGGAGGACAAGGACAGAAAGAAGCCTGAAGAGAATGGAGTCATTGTTTCCTCAATTCCTTCCTGAACGATTTGCTGGTGAAGGAAGAGATCACTTCTACAGCTAAACATAAAGGCCAATAACATTAAACCCCAAAGATAAGAGGTAAACACAAGAAAGAGTTAAAAAACATTGTTTTTCTATACATGAGGTTGTTTTTTTGGTATGGCCATGGGCCAACTGTGTTCTAGTATCACCATTACTGTTAATAGTAGCCTTGTTTCACAATTGTTCTTATTTGACCTTCCTGGCAAGGAATGCCTCCTCACTGTACTGAACTTTCCTACCTTCAGTCCTGATCTTAAATCTAGGTTCACAAGAAGTGGATTAATATTTAATGCTTACCATTGGGTAGGCAGCATGCAAGTCCTGAAGGTATAAGAGCAAACAAAACAGAACCTCTGGGCCCTTAGGGAGCTTGCAGTCTTCTTGTCTGGTAAGTATTCCCTTCCATTTATCTATTATCTTTAGAATAGACACATGAATTACATTTTCACTAACTACTCCAAACACAGGCTTCTTCTTCCTCTAGACTTTCTCCCATAGCCCTTTTTCCTAGGGTGACTGTGTGACTTATCTGAACTGTCCAAACCTGAACACTTCTTAGTGAAAGGGGTGCTATTAATAATTATGCTGCAACAATAGTTATATATGGGACAAACCAGGACATGTGGTCACCCTCTGCACACTGTTCAACCCAGTTGGGTTTCTCCCACTTCTCTGTCAGACTGTGTTCCCTAGAAGCTATAATTAATGTCTTATACTTTTATACTGAATGAAAAATCTAACTTTAGCTACATCGTAAAATAGTTGCTCAGTAAACACATGCTTGAGTTGAAAAAAAAAATGATATTCCCCTAAATTACATCACACTGCAGACTTGGACTTCAAACACACCTCAGAATTAAAAATGACTGTGAATCCGTTTATTATATTTTAGAATGCCAAATAGTGTAAAAAATACTTCCTTGAAGACTCCTCCCTCCTTGGTCTGACAAAGAACTAATTTTGATCTAATAGAACACAACATATAAATATTGTAACTTAATTGCTTTCACTGTCAAAAAAATCTTATTTCCTTTTTAATTAATGTAATGAATGTGTGAAAACATTCATCTCTCCACCCAGCACTCATCAGTGTCATGTAAACAATGCACAATAAAATAAACTGCAACAACCTCTTTTATGGATGATGTTTGGGTTTCCTTTGAGGGAAGCAAATCCAGCATGAAGCCATATATAAATGATCTTTTCTAGATAGTCTGCCACACTCAGGAAAACATTGATTATTTTTTAGGGAACATTTCCAACGTACGTGAGGCAATCTCACTGTGACCAAAAAACAAAACAAAGCAAGAAAACCAGAGAGGAAGGTGGTGGCCACAGAGGTGAGATACAGAAGAGGGAAAAGGACACATGGGTGTCCCAAGATGAATCCATTCAGGATACATGATACATTGAGCGATTTTGTTCAATTGACTTGACTTGAGGCCTCCATGTGCATATTGGTGAGGTGTTCATTTTCAGGGGGAAAATGCTGTTTCAAGAAACTGCCATAAGGATATGAAATGAAGAAACAAAAACAAAGGAAGGGCACATACTCATAATCATTCTCCTTTTCTGAATATATCTTTCTAATAATCACATTGTGGGGCATTTACACGACAACCTTTTTATGACACCATTCCACATCTAGGTTTGCCTTTAGGGAGCCAATTATGTATGGCTGGCTATCCATATCTCCTCTCCCCACCCCTACCCCAATTCCCTTGCTTCATTGTCTGTTTTCAGCTGGTATTCTTTTCTGGTTGAATGGCCACAAACACAAGCTGTCTATCTCCCCCACCTCATAGAGCTCAGCTTGGCAGATGAAAATAGCCCTGGTAAAGGAGCTGTTCACAAGCACAAGGCCCTGCTCACAGGCCACCAGTGCAGAGGAAGCCCAAGTGGAAAGTCAAATCTGCCATTGCCCCCAGGAGCACCCATTATGTAAATAAAATAGGCTTTCCCTTCTATCACCACTTCCTCCCAAGAAAAGCAAGAAATTGTTTTTAGACTTCTGACTTCTTTTGAGAATAAAAACAGACAACCCATTGAAAGCAACAAATGATTAAATAAAACACTGGTTTGCAAACTCGTTAACCCAAGGGACTGCTGTTTGTACAATCAACCATTTAATATAAAATCTGAAAGCTGTGCTATTCACCCTTCACAGCTGCCTTTGTCTGTGTTTTAGTCTTTTTAACAGAGGGGTGAACCAATAATCTCTGAAATTAACCCAAAATGTTACAGAGTGATGGCTTGGTTACATTTAGAAGTAGGCATTTGATTGGTATCACAGCTGGGCTGTGGGGGGTTTATCAGAGTAGGATTGTTTCCACTTTAGTGACCTCAGATTCAGGATAGGACACCTGGCAGTCATCGTCAGGGTCCCAAGTCAATGAACTTCAATACTAAAAAGTAGAATTTTTATGTGCATGTAGCTACCAGGATCCACAGATATAAATATCTCCTTCCCATCCTCCTTAGCTTCTCCAGGTCACCCTTGAAAGGGACAGGTCCCTTCTCTGCTGGAAATAACTTTACCTTGCAGTCAACAAAAGGAAGGAGAGCCATTTCCGGAATTGTGTTGGGTAATCAGAATTCTATGCGAGTCCCTAGTGCATGCTTTCAGTTTTACCCCCTCTTTAGTTTGGCCTTTCTTCATATTTTATACCAAGGATAAATATTCAAAGCAAAATCTCACATTAGAGTGTCAGAGGAAGAGAGAGAAGCAATATCAACTGGGGATCTTTTGGAAAAGCAACATACACACCATGTTTTTATGAAACAGAATTTCCAATGTTCAAGTTTTCAGATATTTGGATGCAGTACATTTTTGGACAGGCAGATGCATTACCTTCTTTGGAAAAGCCAAGAGTTGCCACTGTCTCAACTGAAGGGGCAGCTGAGCACAGGAGGCTGATCCTGCCCGCTGGGGGCGAGGTCCTCAACCCGCTGTTATCCTGAGGAGACACACCCCTACAATTTGTTCCTACAGAAGGAGGATAGCTAATGCTGCTTCCTAATTAATCACTGGAGAATAGTCCTGATGATGCTGGCTGTTGGAGATTCATAGTTGACAGCTCCTGCTTGAGACAGGAGAAATACAAGTTGATGGAGGTAGATGAGAGTGAACCAGCTTAGAGGTTGGTGAAAAATGGTTGAAGGAGCAAGGGGAAGAGGGGAAGTAGGTGAACAGGAATACTGGGGTGGGAGTGGGGAAAAAAAGAGGGAACATACTCAGAGCCAGGCAAATCTGATGGAAAGCAAAAGGGAAGGAATGATTGTGTGTCAGGAACAACGGGGCAAATGTTCACAAAAGATGCCACATAAGATTTATTTGGGAATGGGTGCGATGCATAAGAGGGTAGCAAGTGGGGAGCAGGGAGGAAACAGGATTCCAAGGTGTTTGCTAAGACAATCACAACTGTCTTCCCAGACAAAAAAGCTTAGACATTTTCCTCAGCCTCTCAGGCAACATGTAGGTATCTGGAAGACAAGGACCCACCGAGGCTGCCAATCTCCCGCCGCCCCACCCCCACCCCAACCGAATCAGCCTGGCTCTCCTGCTTTTTCTCAGAAGCCAGAGAGCTGTCACTTCGCACAGCGCTTCTGCCACCTTAACACCTGGATGGCTTCTGCTGATCTAATTTCAAGTAGCACCTACTTCCTTCTAAAGGGAGGGGTCTCAATCCCTGCCCACTGTCCTGGGAGAGGGAGCTAGAAGGCTGTAGTCCCAGGCAACAGAGCTGAAGATGCTTCGCTTCTCCAGGCTTCTCCCACGCCCCAGACACCTGCTGGGGCGCCCCTGTCTCAGGGGCACTCCTCCCCCATTTTCCAGACACTAATCGACATCAAGGCAACACATTTCTCCTCTCTCTCCTTCATCTCCAGTCCTCATACTCCCATTTCACCTGGCCCATTTGGAATTCAGATACAGCGAGGAAGGGACTGGTTCATAGCCAAGTTCAATCCTGCGCCTGGAGACCGCGATCCCAGCCCTGAGCTGGATACTCCGCAGGGGCCGTGTGCCGAAAGTCATTGATGACAGGGGGCCACCCAGGACACCCAAGTGGGGGCGCTCGCACAGCCACCCCTCCGGGACTCCCCAGCACCGATCGTCTGACCCTGCGCTTCTCCAACCCCGCGCACTGCCTCGGGTTCTCTAATCTTCCTGGCGGTCCCTCCGCTCTCCAGGGCATCCTTCACTTCTGCCTGCAAAGAGCGCGCGTGCCGCTTGAGCAACTTCCCTTCTCTAGGCTAAGCCGGAACCCTCACGGGTGGAGGAAGCCGAGGACGCTCCGGTCTCCACGGCTGCTTAACATGCAACACTCATTCAAGGCGAGGACGCCCCTCCCCGCACAGACGTCGCCGGCTTGTGAGCAAAATCAGAAGCAAAAGCAGAGACAAACAAGGGTGCACCTACCTATAGACGAAGCCTTCTTGTCATGTCAGGGCACACTCGGGGCTCTCTGGAATATGCAAGCCTCCGTGCCAATGCAATGCCCCGGGCTGCCCGCGCCTCTGGCTTTGGAGACAGCCGGAGCTCGCCTACTTGGGTCAAGCGGCGGGAGGCCACGGGGTCGCCGCGCACTGTCCCCAGCTCCCGCCGCCCTCCCGCGCCCGCTCGCTGCAGCCGCGGCGCGCGG